TAGTGAACTCAACAGTCACAGGTGAAAATTCCATTGAGAACGAATTCATTAAAAGGTATTTGTCATTCAGCAAATTGATTAGAATTACTGCGTGGTGTTTAAGGTTTGTAATTTACACTTCTCTGAAATGTCCTGAATTATAAAACTTCTCATCGATCCATTGTCCAATAGAATACGAACTGGTTCTAAATTATCCTTCTCAGAAAATGGACGTATCATCACAGTACACATTTGTAGCAATGCACTGCGGAAAGTTTCGGTTTTTAATTGACTAATCTGAACATCTTCTTTACTGGATGGAATTGTCGACACAACCGATTTGGTTTCGAGTTGAAAACAAATAGACCTATTGCGTTTTTTATTACATATTTCTTTCCTTACACTGCTTAATTTTATGCTGAGAATTTTAGACACAAAAAACATCGGGCTTGAGATTTTAAAATATTTCTTGTCTCCTCCACGGTTTTAATTTCGCAGCGCTCTGAATCGTGTAGTTCGTCACAGTTACTGCTAGCGACTGGAGCAACATATTCATACATTTTAGGTGAACTTTTCTCAAACTGTTTACTGCGCTTGTTGTTTACATTATCGTGAGCGGAGTGGAGACGATCGTTTGATTTATGCCTCCAGTTATGAATCATTTCCGCTCGGTGTTTTGTTTTTGTTTCTTTACTCTCATTTAACTGCATAGCTCTTTCGCGGCTTTCTATTTCTTTACGAATAAATTCCATTAATTTGTCAACATTCCATGTGTAGTCACTGTTTCTACTGTGACTGTATTCTAATGTTATCTCTGATGGAATTAATTTTAACAATATTGGGCAAAGTAAACTACCGTAAGTTTCTGATACGACGTTCATTGACTTTAAGCATCTAATTTGAGTTTCACACTGATCATATAAATTCCTAAGATTTTCTATATCCCTTACATTTCTAATAGGGGAAAGATTTAACAGTTTATTCATGTGAGCATTTATTACCAAATCTTTTCTCCCAAACCTGCTAGTTAACAATTCTATAGCTGAATCGTAGTTCTTCATTTGTAAGCGAGAGTTCGAAAACGGCATTATAAGCTACCCCTCCTAGTAATGACTTTAAGTAACTGAACTTATTTACTTTTGATAATGAGTCATTGTTATGGATAGCTGCCTCAAATTGACTCCAAAATTCCTGCCAATTCCTAGAATCACCAAAAAATTTAGCGATAGTCAATTTTGGAAGGCAAATAATTTTATTATTTTCAAGTTTGGAATCTATAGCGGTTTTATTAGGAATGTTCATACTTTCCTTATCCGAATTTTTGAGTTTGTGTAATTCCTTCAATTTTTTTCTTGCTCTAAATTGCCACAATTAGATTTTTTTCTTCATATTCTAGAGCACATGAAACTCCAAGTTCAAATTCATCCTCTGGGACCTTCAAATCCTGTTCTATTTGAGTGTTTAAATCACTCAAAGTGTTTGCCTTTTCGTTTAATATGTCTAAAGTTTCTTCTATTACATTTATACTAACATCATCTTTGCTTAATTCTGTCTCAATTTTCTTTAGTACCTTGGACACTGTGGTCCTTAATACTTTGCATTTCGATTTAAGCTTAGCGACAGGATCTTCCATAATTACTTTAAAATAGAAAACTTATCCTACCTGTTTGCAGGCTTCGCACACTTCACACTGTGCCAATCCATACTTACGAATCTATATTTTCGAATATTAGCTGGCTTCCTGGCATGTAGCACCAAAAAATGTTTATGTACGCACTAATGTACACTATTTGAATCACGAATGTCGCTGCCTATGCATCTAACTATGAATCTAATGACTTATCTAAATGCCACATCTAAATTTCTGCATGCGATGGTTCAGCTATAATTCTATGATCAAATACTTAATCTAGTTTTAAAAGGATTTATTAAAATACTAAAATTAATCTAATCTAGAATCGAATCTAATGTTACATCTCATGAGCAGCGTTTTAGCTGCGTCATAATGAATCGAAAGTCAAGTTGTCACTGTTGCCATTCTGAGGCAGAGAAAAGTTTGTTTCTAATCAAACCGGAACATCGGCATAGTGAAAGTTTCTAGTCAAACCGGAACATTCCGGCCCCCGTTGGACGATTGTCCAACATCATTTGGAAATGGGAGTGGACTGATATTGGAGACGTCTCGGCGAAAGATTCCATCTGAAGTTCTGACGTCTATGACTCGTACTAGTCCATCTGGACCAGGAAAGGTTTCCTCGATGCGAGCTATTGTCCACCTCATGGGTGTCTTGTTTTTATCCTTTAACAAGACTAGTTCTTGAGATAATGTTCTTGAGGTTGGACCTCACTTGATTCCATTTTGAGCGGTTCTGCAAATGAGTAAGATATTCCACGCTCCAATGGTTCCAGAAATTAGCTCTAAGTTTTTGAATTAAGGTCCATCTAGAAGACAAGGTCAAAGAATCTACAGAATCATTCGGTTCAGGTTTTGTTTCTAATCAAACCGGAACATTGACATAGTGAAAGTTTCTAGTCAAACTGGAACATCGGCATAGTGAAAGTTCATCGGCATAGTCAAACTGGAACATCGGCATAGTCAAACTGGAACAATAGTTATACAGTACAAAGCCCTAAATCCGGATGTCCATTATTTGGAATGATCTAAAATCTGGACCTCAAAGCCACCATCAATATTTTTCTCATAGGCTTTACGCATGCGCATTTGATTCCCCCCCGCGCATAATAAAACATCTGTAGATTCCCGATTCTTAATTTTTCTTCAAAATACCTTGTTATTGAAGAATAATCATTTTGGCATAAATTTGTACAATCAGTAATTTGCTCCTTGCTGCATATCTGCTTGGCATACATCTCAAACCGAAACATTCCACTTAGATACATCGTTGATCTGATGCCAACCTGGCAAATAATTATTTATTATACTTTCCTTTCATTACCACATGTTTATAAAAACATAACAACTTGAGTAATGGCTCATGTAGCGATGCTTAAACAATTTTTTTATCTGTAATTGAATAATAAAGGAGTATGGTAACCTTTTATGTTGTCATGACGCTTGGTGATGATTACAGATTTAAGTTAAATGCGCTAAAAAATGTTCACAAGGAAAAATTTACCAACATTTTTTTTTTCCATATGCTAAAAATAGATTTTGTTGATGATACTCATAGACCCAAAGATTACATTTAGGACTATTTGATCTAAGAATAACTGATTTATTATTCACATAAACCTAGAACCAGCGCCAGGGCTCGTATGGCCGCACCCAGTCGCAGAATTTACGGCCTACAGAGACTGTATCAAGCGATAAGATATCTAGAGCTGGCCCTCATATGGCTTAAGTATATGTGGGAATTTATTTATTCAGAACTCTGATGAGCTTTAAGCATGTGCAAGAAATAGACATAACTATAATAAATAACTGTTGCAGTTCAGGCTTAATTGTCTTAGTGCATGATAGAAGCATGATAAAACTCAACAGAACAACTTGTCGTTAGTTGCCAAGCTCATGATGCATAGGCAAATATGTGTAGTGAAGGATAGATAAATTTGATGATGATAGCGGCTAATTTTAAAGGTTTTAGGATATTGCAAAGCAAAGGTGAAATTTTCCAATTAACGGATTTTGTAAAGAAATGTGGAGAAGCAGTAATAAATGAAGATGATATAAAAGAAATTTTTCATTGTGATGACACTGCTTCTCAATCATCAATCAATTAATGAATGGCGAAATCTGTAGTATAGTTCTAGATCCAAAAAATACCGCTACTGACAATGAAGAAAGTGACAGAGAAGTTACTGGAAACGAGAAAATGTCGATTGACAAGTTAGTCGGAATTCTCGAACAGCAGTTACAGGACTTCAACAATGTAACTGAACAAGAGATTTTCTCTGTCTACAGAATTAAAGAGAAAGTATTGGCACACAAAAATGAAGCAACTTAAACAACTTACATTGAAAGAAAAATTTAATAAGGTAAACAAATAAATATTAAACTTTTTTCGTAGGTTTTGATACCCTTTAGATCATAAAATACTTCATTATTTCATAAATAATAATGTCATATTTTTAATTTTATAATTTCTACATGCCATCTTACTAGATTTAAACTGATGATCTAATATCAGGAAAAATCCCAAATCCGGAATCACCGAAGTCCCGACGAGTCCGGATTTCGGACTTTGTACTGTATTTTTCTTCAGTGATGCCTTCAGAGAAGACAAAATGATTTGAAACCGTGGATTGTCTGTCTTAGAGAAAAACAATTTATTCAGATGAATTTTGTAACAAATAATGACAAATATATTTAGGGATTTTAAATAATTTAAAATGTTTCCATAAATCAAAATAATAGTAAAAAATTTTGTTTTCATATGTGTAATTTATGTTACAAACATTCATGTACTTGTCATTGTTATCTTTTGAGCTGGGTCTTGTGTAATTAGAAAAAATTTGCTCTTTACAGCTTGCCATAAAAATTAATTAAATTTTCTCTATATTTCCTTCCCAAAAAGCTAGCTAATAGTTTAAACTTAATTGTAAATAGTGTGCTGTACAATATGCAGTAAAGTACAAAAAAGACTGTATAAACCAGTTTCAATTCTTTCTTTCATTCTGAGCCTAAGAAAAACAAAATTTGAAAGAAAAATATATTTAAAATATGTGTGCATATATGTACTTTACTTCACTGAGGTGAACAATGGATCTCTGTTGATCAATTAGAATAATTAATGTACGTACTAAAGGGTAATGTTTTGTCATTAAATCACCTCAGTTTAGTGTTCATTTTATTTTTGATGTATTAAATGCCTTTCGTTTAATACAGGCTGCTATTGTGTAAATTTCAATATAACTGAATGCTAGTCTATATATTTCTTAAATTAATTTGCATTCAAATATTATGGTATCTTTGTTTCCAAAATTTTGTGTTATGTAGTTTCTTGTATATAAGTTTATCTATGTCCTTTCATTGTATGCCTGAAATTTAATTTCTCCTTTAGGCCTTGATAGAGCATCTTTTGATAATAAAACTGTGTCATTTGAAGAACACATACGATGTGAGCATAATATGTGGCATTACTTATATTTTATTGTTCTGGTGAGAGTTAAAGATCCTACTGAATTTACTGGCCCAGAAAGCTATGTTGCATCCATGATAAAGGTGTGTACATTGCTTAAAGTATGAAGTTTTCATCTCATTAATTTTCTGATTGCAGCAAAATTCCAGTTATTCAGAATGTTCAGGGTAATATTTAAAATTATACACTATTGAAAAATGACCCTCCCTGTTATTGTATTACCCTTCCCGTATTAAGAAATGAAGAAAAAAAAAGAGTATATAATAATTCTGCCAGCATATTTAATGTAATTATAAATATTTTAAATAGGAATATTGCCTGTTGTAATGTATTTGCAGTAATTTACAAAACAAACAATCTTCTTAGTAGAACATAAATTTTATTTCTAGTTCACTGTGATAGACAAATTTTATACAATTCTTAAGTGTCAAAATTTTCATACTACTCCTAGCTGGTAAAAAAAATACAGAATTCTAATCTTTTAAAAACAATATCTCACGTTGCTGAGTAACGGTTTTAATACAAATATGGCGTTGCCACTTCAACAATAATTATATTTATTTATTAAATAACAAGATATTACAACCTCTACCCCTCCAGATAAACTTTAATTTATATTTTTATGGTTTTTTCAAAACAACAATATCAGCACAATACAGAATTGAAATACAAGATATAACATAATAAGATACACTGAGGAAGAGAGGAAGGAACAAAATATTTTTTTTATCTATATAGAGAAACAAATTATTTAATCAGGCCATGGAGTACGACTTAATGCGTCTACATTTTTATGGTTTTTACCACTTCGATGAACGATCATGTAATTGTAGGGTTGTAGTACTAGTGCCGAACTCATAAGTCATGGATTTAGACTCACGTTATTTTTGAGTTAAACTAAGGGATTATGATCGGTCATGATGAGGAATTTAGTATGCCCGTCTAAATAACATTGAAGTTTCTTTACAGCAAATATTATGGCGGCGCATTCCTTTTCTGAGGTAGAGTACTTTTTTTCAGTTTCTGTAAACTTCTTACTGAGGTATAATACTGGATGTTCATTGTTTCGTTCATCTTTTTGAGCTAAAATGACACCCATCTGAAACACATCTGAAACATCAATTTGCAAAATAAACTCCTTATTGAAATCAGGTGAGTGTGACAGATGTTTTTGTGGCAGTTTTACTTCTTCAACAACTCGCTCTCGTCTGTTCAGTTTCTTTAAAAACTTTTCCTTGACTTTTTCATCTCAACTCCAAAACTTAACAAGTCATCTAGAACTTTTAACTGAAAATCGTTTAATTTTGTCAGTTCTTTCTTGTCAGATAGTTTCTGCTCTTTGCGAGATGAACCTTTGTTCTTGTCTGCTACTTGCACTCTCACTGAATGTGGCAACTTTGAGTATCCTTTATCATGTTTATGCCTCTTTCCTGAGTTTTTTGACACGAGCTTATATTCTGAACGTATTTTTAATTTCTTAGCCTTAGAAGCACCTTCATGCGTTCTTTTATCAGAAGTTCTTTGATCTGCTGTTAACAAACTGTCAAACACATCTTTGCTTTTTGGAGGAGAAGGAACTGGGGAACTTGTAGAGGAATAATCATACACACTATCAATAGAAGGTGAGTCAACTTCCGTATCAATAGCTCCAAGTTTTGAATCACCAGGTAAATAAGGTGGTTTGTCAGATTTCTGTGAAGCATTGACAGAAACTTGACTTTTAGGAGGGTGAGTATTGACCAAATTATTATGAGTTTTAGCATTAATATTTGTTTGGTTCTGAATCAAAATTGTGTAGTTCTGCATTGGATCCCTATATTTTTCATTACTAACAATTACTTCCCTTTCATTTGCATTTTTATCTAATTTCTTTTTCACCAACAATCCGTTTTCTTATACTTTGAAATCATTTGTCTTGCTGGAATTTTCATTTTTAGCTTTGAATTAACATTAATCACTTTCTTAAGTTCCTTGTCTTCCTCATCAGCTTGAGGTAAAATATCTTCGTCAGTTTCAATAAACTTCAGTTCTAGTTTCTCCATTTCAATTTCTCTGCTTCGATCATCTTCATGAGATCTTTTTACTTGAGATCATGTCAAAACTGCATTTATTTTTTTCTAAATTTAAGAATGATTTATTTTTGGACAATTATGCAGTTTTGTTACCCAATACATATCTTCTGGGATCATTTGTAACCACAGCTGCTTTTGTCTTTATATGACCAAGTTCGCAATTAATTTCAACTTCAGCTAATGGTAGACATACTAAATGGTCATTTAAGAGATATTGTACCCAGACATGTTCTCCAATCATTTTTGCTTTATCTACATATTTTCGAGATATAACATCTACTGTGGCTCCTGTGTCTCAAAGAATAGGCATTTCATACCCATTAACTAAACCGTTAATTGTATATGTCTCTAACAAATCATCATTTGAAGATACGCAATTTACCTTTTCATTTGGTTTTAAGCGAGGACACTGAGGCTTAAAATGTTCATATGATCCACACTCGAAACAACGTGGTCGATATCTTTTCTCATATAAAGGCTTTTCTTGGTTTCTTATTTTGGAACTTGATTTCCTTTGTTGGACATCTTCTCTTTGTCGGTAATCTTTCTCGTATTTTGAATCATGCCATCTTATCAGAATGCTTAAAATTGAGGCAGGATGCTCTATTTTTTTCACAAAATTATTCGTTAACGCAGAAATTTTTGTAAATGATTCCTTTGTTAATTTCTCAGTTTGATTGGCAGAAAATTTTGGTTTCATTATTTTTTCTCACATCTTCAAAATCTTCAATTTTCTTAACTATCTTCAGTAGGAGAAATGATGGTTGTCCATTCATCCATAAAATGTTCTTTGAAATCGGGGAAGAAGTAAGCTTTTTAATTTGATCAACAGCATGAGATCTTTTAGCTGTTCAAAAGTTTTAATGTTTAATTACCGTTAAGCCATCCTTCTAAATAATTCTTTAATTCATTAGTAGAAATCCTACCAAGTACTTTCAGTAGACTTTCGGTGTTTATTTAATAGTTGTCGAAATTTTTCCTCGCTCAATTTAAATCGTTGTAACAGTAAAGTTTTTACATATTCATACTTTTTCGTGTCCTCTTCTGGTTCTCTAGCAATAAGCTGAACAATGTCGGGAGGCAGCAATGAAATAAGTTGAGTCACTTGATTTTCAGCAGGTATATTCATTATTTTAGCTTGACGCTCAAATAACACCAGAAATAAAGTTGAAACGTGGCATGACATCGTGAATTCTGATTTTTAAAGGCTGCTCAGCTAACTGCGTAGTTTCTACCAGCTGTGCTGTTGCAGCCATTGCTTCCAACTGAAGTTTCTGTAGCTCAAAGGCTCTAATTCGCTCTTCTTTTCTTTCTCTTTCGCGTTCTTCTCTTCTTTCTTCTCTTTCGCGTTCTTTTTCTTTTTCGCATTATTCCTTTCTTTCCCTTTCTTCTCTAATTGCAGCCAGTAGTTCTCGAGTGAACTCCTCATCATAACCGGGACTTTCAGTAATCAATTTATACAACTGAGCAATCATAAATTCAGGTTTCACGGCAATTTTACCCACGTCAGTTCGACGACTTTACTATCTATCTCCACGCCTGGTTGGCGATAACAAAAACAATTTTTACCAGTTTGGCAATACAACTTTTAGAATATACAATCTGTAATACGTCGGGATGACGTTACTATCTACCACACGCCTAGGTGGCGAGAACTAAGATAAAAGACTTTTGCCAATTCTGCAAGTATAATCAAATCACACTACGTTAGTTTGAAAGTTGCTACTACTTATTTTCCACGTACCTGCTTGGCAACAAATTCAAAAACTCAGCTAGGGAGTTCTTTTTTTTTTTTTTTTTTTTATATATTTATATATATAATATATATATATAAATGCGGATGGCTTACACATATCAATTATCAACATAAAAAATTCGATACAAATAAAAGCAAAGCATAAATAATAATTTTAAAATACTTCTTTACCACAAATACCAATTATAAATTTAAGCTGAATATTTTTAGGTGTCAGTTATTTTAAATAAAATCATACACGATGAACTATAATTCTGAAATGAAAGTACTTAAAATTCAATAAACAGCTTCTTTAAGAAAACCAAAAGTTGTAATCTTATCTTCGGATATCAGCAGTGTCCTTATCTGACAGATTCTTTTGCTCGGACACAAGTTACAGAAGCACAGAAGATAACCTTTAAATGATCCATTTCAAATCTGGCTTTAAAACGGCAGACTTCTTACATTCCATTTCTCCTTGAAATAAACAAACTCGGCAATTGGTACTAGGCAAACTTGTTCTCAAAAATTTCAGCATTTTTCTGGGATTAGGAGACCAGCACCATCGAAAACTGATAATTGCACTCCTAATTTACAGTATCTGGGTGGAACCTTCAGTTTTATTAAGACTGTAATATATTTTGCAGTAATTGACAAAACGACAATCTCTTAGTAGAACATAAATTTTATTTCTAGTTCACTGTGATAGACAAATTTTATACAATTCTTAAGTGGCAAAATTTTCATACTACTCCTAGCTGGTAAAAAAAATACAGAATTCTAATCTTTTAAAAACAATATCTCACATTGCTGAGTAACGGGTTTAATGCAAATATGGCGTTGCCACTTCAACAATAATTATATTTATTTATTAAATAACAAGATATTACACTGTGTATGAAACATTTTCAAATCCATTTGAATATCCATCTACTTTATTGATGTCATTCTTCTTTTTTTCTTTTTTTTCCTTCCTCCATCTGAAAACATATAGCTGTTTTTTGACAAAACCATTTCTTAGAGAAATTGCTTAGTTCTTCTGTAGCATAGACTATGTTTTAGACATACCTTGAGTTCTCTTTATACTGAATTATTTATGTAGCATACTATGTTTTGGTACTTTCAAAAGAAGCCAACTATGGCAGGAATTTAAATTTTTATTTCTGGTTTGTGATATCATAATGAGTAGAATATACAGAGGGAAAATAATAAGTTATTGCTATAAGAAAACCATTATAATAAAGAAAAATGAAGATATCACCAGCAATTTGAAATTGAAAAAGAAGCCAATAATTGTCCATGTATGTTAATTTATTAGTTGTTTATTTGTTATCTTTAACAAAAATAGAAGTGTAACTTTGCAAAATTGTAATCTGTGTCTTTTTCTTCCCCTCAATTTCTAAATAATATTTTTCTTCAATAACTGATCCTGAACTAGACTTTCTATTTAAATAAAATAATTCCTCTTCTAGTGCTAAAAAAGGTTAAAGTTATCTGGTTGTCATAAAAAATTTCAGTACTGAATATTTTACATGTTTCTAATGAATTTTTTTAAAAAATTACGTTTACAAATTTCTTTAGGATCGTAACCTGGACTGGTTTCCTCGTATGCGTGCTATGTCTCTTGCTGCAGATGAAGCTGAAGGAGAGCAGAATGAAATGCGAACTTTACAGGTTCAGTTGGAAAATACTCAAAAGCTTGTATCAACATTATCACATCAGCTTGCTGAACTGCGAGATCAAGTTAGTGTTTTTATCATTTTTGAATTTTAAATTTCTTAGCATCTAATATTTGTTATATTTCGTTAACTGTACTCTCAAATCTAAATATCAGGTTTTAATTTTGTATGTATTAAAATACAGAATATGTTTTATTCCAGTATATGCTTAATATTTTTTGTGCATTGAAGATTTGAAAAGCTGTGTATTAGTATTCGTATGGTATTCGTATATTGCATTGGCATTTGTGGTATTTAAAAAAAAAAAAAAAAAGCAAAGTTGTTGTTTGTAAAATGTTTAAAAGCGTTATTTATTGTATTAAGATTTTAGATTAAGCTACTCTTAAACAGAGTAATTGGTTAGTGCATTTCTTTCAATTAAAATATGTGAAGAAATTCTGTGATATTGAGAAAGTATAAAATTAAGCATTACTCAATTTCAGAATTTGCCTAATTTTATATTGGAATTGAAATTTTTCTGCTTAACATTTTATTTGATGTTGATTTTGAATATTTCTGAATTTTCATTTTTTCCCCATCATACTCAGTTTGCTTTGAGGGGTTGGTTAATAAATAAATTGCAGTAATTGTTGTAAGTATGGGGTGACGGGGGATCTGTTTGATTTATTCAGAACATAATGAGCAAAGAATGTTTGAAAATTTCTGCATTGAGCAATAAATTGTGATTTAATATTCTTCTTGTTTTCAATTTTTTAAAGATTATCTTTATTCTTTATCATGTTTAAAACAATTTTCTCTAACATATTCTCATGAAATTAAATCAGAAGTATAAAGAAGTCTTTTTTAAAATGCACCAAAAATTTTGGTGTGTGTGTATGTACAGCAAAATACATTTAATGCAAAAACGCTTAAGATGAAATATCAGTTAACATGGAATAATACAAAAGTCCCAACAAACTACTATATATTTTCATGCATTTTGTTTCTCTTAACACGAAACAAAAATCACTTAACACAAAAAGATATCTTCTCTGGGAATGAACAAAATACGGAAAACACCGGTCTCGCAGGTGAGATTTAAGAGGGGGTGTGAAATGAAAGAGAGATGGTTTCACATGTTCATAGAAAGGAGGCTAACTTAGCTTTGATATATCCTCGAAATAGCCTGTGACATGAGCCAGTTTTGTTTATTTAAGCTACTTTCACCTTCCACCCCTACAAATGCCATACAAGCATCTCATCTCTTGTCAATTTGGCTTTGAAATTCAGTGACGAGTACATCACAGTGTGAGTAAAAATCTGTAAGTTTGGTTCGTATGTTGCACTCTGCATGGAATTCAGCGATTCCAAGAACAAATAAAAATTGTTTTTGTCATGAACGATTCTCGAATGTATCAGATTCTTTGGCGCCAAAAGAAATGGAGAAGGAGGATATTGAAACTGTGTCAATACTTAACCTTTTCGCGACGGCGCACCTTTGTTTAAGATGCTCGTGCGGGATGGAAGTGACTCGAAAACAGTCACTGTACAGGACGGAGGTTTTGCATTGCTAAGTGCTAAGCCTAATTTTATAAAATAAATCAGAAAAAAAAAAGTTTCACTTCTAGCATCATAATTTTTGGAATCATTTTAGATTATTACTTGAGCTCTTATATATGTTAAAATTAGCACTTAATAATGTTTTTTTCTTTGTTTTATATGAAAATATACTTAAAAATTTCCTTGTCTTGTAAAATAATTTTCGGAAGCGCTATTCAAATTGTTCCAAAGTTTTAATTGATAAAATTAATCAATAAAGTTTAAAATTAATAAAACAACACCATAAAGACTATTTACAGTAAGAAGTAACAAAGTTTAAAATGAAGACGGAGTGTGGTAAATCTCGAAGCACGGAGAAGTCTAACTTTCTAACTCTTTAGAAAAAGAATCATCATCCCTCTCATCTGCATTAGTAAATGGCTCATTAACCATAGGAGGGTATTCTTCCTCTGATAAATAGCGCCTTCCATAATAGACTGGAGGTGAGGCTTTCCAAAATAAAAAGAGAAGAAACGGAAATATATCTGAAGTCAATGCAAAACATAATAGAACTCCACATATTAACCCTAAAAGACCGTATATATTAGAGGGAGAAAACAGAATAAAAAAAAGGAATTGAATATAAATCAGACACGCGAATATTTATATTAGCACATGGCGATTTAAAGAGCCCACGTTTGTTTACGCTTTCCCTCCCCCCCCCACCCTCGCAACAGTTGATGAGTAAAATACCTTTTCTCAAAAGTCAGACAGAATATATCAAACTCAAGGTCAGGAACCTAAAACTGTGTTAATTTCAAAAGTAATGGACATAAAATGCCATCTAGTGGCCTTCAGAAAAACGTTCCAGCTTAAAATGCGTATACGCATCACCCATCCTCTGAATGCAATGTCTAGTGATGCGTGGATGGGATGCCCGGCTGTAAGAGGTGTTCTCAGGGAATGCGTATATGGGACGCCCGTCCTGAAAGGTTTACTGAAATGTTTGAGAAAGTTTCTGTACTATTGGACTGTTGTAATGTATTATCAGAAGAATTCGTTGCAGTAGTTGATGATAATGTGTGTACAGCTCCAATTATGGCAGAGAAAGACATTTTGGAGTTTGTTCAAAGCTAAAAAAAATATCATTGATGCAGATTCTGATGAAGAAAATGAAAAGCATGCGCAGTTATATAGACCCACATTCCAATGGTGAAATGTATAACAAAATGGACGACATTGAACAATTTGATGTTGAAAAAGACAATGGAAAGAAAAATATTAGGTTATTTTCCAAAAACTCAACTTTTTGAACTTGAAAATTTTGTATTAATTTTCATTAGGCTCTTGTGAAGTTTTTTGTTTCAATTATTTTTTATTAAATAAATGCATATATACAAACAAATCTACTCTAATAAACTGAATTTTGTTGAATATATATATATTTTTTTTTATCAGTATCCTTTAACACAAGTATACACTCTTTTACAAAAAAAACCGAAGCACCAAGAAAGACTTTTGCGATCATGATGAAATTTGGTATGCAAAAACATCTTTATCGAACATGCAAATGATCAAAGTTTCAAGGCAAATGAACAGGAATTGTGATCATACTGCACATTTCTAGTGTGTAATTCACAAAGTATAAAACCAGTAATAGAGGCTTAAAATTTATCTTTTTTTGTTGCTGCCATTGTAATTCCGTAAAGAAGAAACTAACGATAAAATGAAGGCTCTGGAAGGCCAAGGATCACAAATGCGAGGCAAGATAGGATGGATTGTTCCCCAGACCCGAACCACCCCAACGATATCATTATCGACTATTCAACACACTACAATCACGTCTATATTGTTCGTCCGTCTGTTGCGAAACGTCTGTTGGCATTTCGCCAAAACACTAAGAATCGTCCAAAAGGGGCGCCAGTTAAGTGGTGAGAGGTCACGTGAAAGTTCTCTCTTAGTCTGTAAAAGGGAATTTATATGATCGAGGGAGGGAAAATTCTTATGTCGTCGGGTGATGATGTTGCATCAATCGTCTTTCGCGCCTTTAGTTTTTTAGAAATAAATGCTAAGTTTCAAATTGGTTTGCAGCCCAGAAACCTAGAATGTTGAAATTGTTTTCATAATGTATGAATTTTATATGAACAATGCATAGTTCATTGCTTACTTTTAAAGATGAGGTCACTAAAATCAAGAAACTATATTCTTTAGCAGATGTATTCTTTTTTGTCATAAAGAAAAATAACCGATCAATAAGTTTCCATCACATTTGCGCGGGTTTTATTTAGATCCTGATTGACTGTTTACTTAACATTTGTTAATATTGCGATCTTTTGTGTAAGCATTAGGGATAGCTTGTTTTTATTGTTAAAATGAGTTCTGTTGGTAAAAACAAAGCTTTTCACAGTGATACTAAGAAACTGCTGCATAATGTCATTATATTTTGTGACATCAAAGCCGAGAATGGAAAGAAAAGAGCCAGTAGCATTGCAGGAGTATCGCTGACAACAATAAAGAAAATTTGTCGATAGGCAGTTTTTAGTTCCCTGAAAGAAAAAAAAAAGAAGTATTAAACCGGATTGGTTTAGATGATTTTGAATGCAATATTATTCGAAGAACTGTTCATGAATTTTATATTAAGCAAAGGAAAATCCCATGCCTTTCAAAATTACTTCCTGTGCTGCAAGAAAAGATTGATTTTAATGGAAACGAGAAACATTAAGAAATGTACTGCATAGTATTGGATTTGTATGGAGAAAAAGCCATGCATCAAAAAGAATTATTGTTTTATGTGCTGGAGGAGATATGGGGTTTTTACCCATCCGGGGACTATCACAGGCAAATGAATTTTGCTGTTTTTAAAAAAGTGGACTTCTGAAAATCTCATTCCGAATCTTCTACCAAGTGCTGTAGTGATAATAGGTAATGCCTCCTACCACACTGTTCAAGTAAATAAATGTCCAACTTATGACAAGCCGAAAAGAAGAAATTATCCATTGGTTAGTTAACAAAAATGTACAGTTCTCTCCAGTTTTATGGAAAGTGGAGTTAATGGAGCTTGTGAAACAAAATGCTCCTAAAGAAAAGTCATAAATTTGATTCAATGCTCGAAAAACATGGTTTTGCGGCTCTACGTCTGCCCCCGTACCACTGCGACATTAATGCAATTAAATTCGTATGGGGTGAAATAAAGCAACTTTGATTGGAATTGCAACACAACTGGATAACAATAGAAAAATGGAAGAAGTACTGCACTCATGTAGAAAATGACTACTGGGAAAAAGATGGTTTGATTGAAGATTTATGCGAATCTTTGATTATTTCCTCTGATGAAGAGGAAGACAACTTGGATATGTGTAGTGACTGTGATACAGAATAATAAGTACTGAGCTAAGAAATTTCGTTTTTTAGCTCTCCAGTACATGTAATACTGCATATAGCTTTCAGTGCAAAAATTGAAGAGATGTAATATTTATTTACTATAATTACTTAATACGAAATTTTTTTCAGTGTGTTATAATGCAGATAGATCGAAGCTCGAAGATA